GCACTGTTGAACACATGAGAAGAACTATTGCTGCAGTAGTTAGTATACCTGCCATGCAGGATCTTGAGATGTTTGTGGTTCCCAGCCAGTGGTAATGGATTTACGGACCAGCGGTTACAGACTTGTTGTCCGTCCTAGAAGGGCCCTTGGAGTTGCATCCTTGAGCGATGTCCCTGACCTGAATTATTTTGTCAGCAAAGCTTAAAAAAGTTAAACAATGGCTATGTAATAGAGAGTTGCAGATAGTGATACTGGCTGCTGATCCCTTTGGGTGCTCCGCACACACTTCTATCCCAGAGGCACCTCTGTAACCTCCTGCACAGGCACCTCTCAGGTGCTGTCCCCAGCTACACGTGCTGAGGGCTTCTTCCTCTGACATCCACGGCCGGTCCTCTCCTCTCCTCACACCGATTCCAGTCCGGTCAAACCACCGAACGGTAAAAGCTGCAATGCCATTAGCATCTGGACCACATTCTGACTTTAGGCCAATGTCCCAGTAGACATGCCCCTAATGTATGCGTGTGTGTGTGTGTGTGTGTGTGTGTGTGTGTGTGTATGAGAGAGAGAGAGAGAGAGAGAGAGAGAGAGAGAGAGCGGTATCTGTGCACCTGTTGTTGACTCATTCTTAAAGTTGTATTTTGGTGTTCCTCGCTCTCTGAAGAAGTCTGTGAAAAGTGGTTTGAAAGTGGTACAAATGTCACCTTTAGAAAAAAAGTTTTGTTTTTTTTTAAAAACCAGTGTGATTTTTGTTCCTTTATTAGGATTTAATGTATGTGAATGAAGCTCTTAAACATAAATTTTATCTGAGATGAGTTTTAGTAGGTAGAATTAGAATCATTATTCCTGGATTTAGGGGTTTACTGATTCTCAAGAATGCATTTTTGTTTTGGCTACACAGCGCAGTTGTGTTAGTACATAGCAGCCCAGCTCGAATGCTCCAAGGGAAGCATAATGGGGACATCTGTCTGACTCATAGACACTGTGGCGCAATGTGTTGGATAAACCTGCTGTTAAATAATGAGCTGTCCAGCACAGCAAGAAAAAAAGGTTTTTGATAATTTACGATAATGGTGATCTTTGGCTGATAAATCTGTGCCATATGTTTAACTGGCCATACTGAATGTTTCCATTTGAATAATGTGACGGGATTTCAAAGACTCAGCAGTGGTGCCTTGACAGTCTCGTACGCATTTAAAAAAAAAATGCTTTAAAGTTTGAAGAAGACGTGCACTGTTAATCTTTCTCCTTGTTTGATATAAGGATCAAATATATTAGCATTTAAACCAGCACCATATGTTGCATAGGTGTTTCTTGCAGTGTTACACAGAATGATATCAAGTAACCGCAGTTAGACATTGCTAACTGTGATACTGGAGGAAGTCTAAACCAGTGCCAGGTGATGGCAGGTCACGTCACTCACACTGCCCACTGGCCAAGCTGTCTTAGTACAGGATGGCTTCACAGTATTAAAAATGATATTGCATAAGTTCTGTACTTTGATTGAACATGCTGTTGCAGTTATAATGCAATGATTCCCACACGTTTATGTTGTAGGTGAATATATGTCGTAAATTAACTTCAGTGTCTGCTCCTGTTTGCTGGATTCCTCCTCCACTGCACTGTACTGGACTTTTAAAATGACATCCTGCATTTATTTTGCTAAAGCGAGAGATCTGCCTGTTTGCTTGTCCCACTAGGCCCTCTGTTTTCTCAGCATCCCAGGTACGCCACCGGAAGGCATTCATCTCTTTTCCAGCTGTGATATATCACATTCCTGGCATATTTTCAGACACATTCCACCTCGCTTTCAGCTTTTCTAAGCCGCTCACCCCCCAGCGTTTCCTGGGTTTTCCAGACTTCCTGCTGTGTGTTGTGCCTTATGGAGGATGCCTGGTCCTGTTCATGTTCCCCCGTCTTGGTCTTTTGGGGGTCTGGGCTGCTCTGAAACCACCTCCCCCACGGCGTCCTGCCTGTTACCAGCGCTTCTGTACAGACCTGAGCTCTCATCGGTGAGGCTCTCTGTCCTTTTACAGATATACTCTTCATGGGGTATGATTCCGTCCCCCAGTGTCCTGGTGTGTGTCCTGGTGCGTGTCCTGGTGCGTGTCCTGGTGCGAGTCCTGGTGCGAGTCCTGGTGCGTGTCCTGGTGCGTGTCCTGATGCGTGTCCTGGTGCGTGTCCGAGTGCGTGTCCTGCGGAGGTTACCATGGTATTTGTTTTCGGAAAAAGAGGAGCAGACATTCTTTAAATAAAACTTGTGTATACAAAAAACATAATGGGGTAAAATTAGAACAGTTTAGGTGACATTGACACGTGACTGAAACATTGATGTGTGCAAAATTTGGTTCTATTGTTGTTGAGGGACACCATGTTGCCCTGTGTGAATTTTTTTTGTCTGCTATTTTATTTGGGGGTCAGAAACTGCAGTGTACAGTACTGTGCATAAGCTTTAAGCAGTCTAAGAAAATGATGTTCAAATGATACATGTTAGTGTAAACCTATGATGTGTGTCAAAATCTGTCAGCATAGCCATTTGAAAACCAGTACCTCTCTTAAAGGTACTACAGTATTTTCAGCAACCATCCAATACACCCATGTATTTTTTACCCAAACAGTACCGCACCTGGTATGGCTAATCAGTATCTCATTGACTTTGTAAACTAATTAATTTATTAATTGCTGTTGGTGAAATTGATCAAATACATGGAATGGCTGAGGTGCCCCTGAGGAGAGGTTTCGGAACTGAAGCAGTGTTCATCTAGCCATCCAACAAGATATCAGTAAGTTTTTGGAGAACAGAAGAAATTCCATTTAGTTTTATTGTGTTGCTCTGAATTTTCTTGTTTGTGTTTTTCATCAAGTCTCCATGACTGTGGTCAGAAGATCGCCGGTTTGAGCCCTGGCCTTGGCAGAACAGTCACATGCCCATGGGCCCTTGAGCAAGGCCCTTAACCCCCAGCTTTAGGGGTGCTGCACGTTAGCTGATCCTGCCCTGTGACCCCCAAGCTATGGAGGGCAAGAAGCATTCCAATGTACCTGTACTTGTGCAAATAAAGCATGTTTGTTTTTTGTTTTGTTATTACTCAAATATATAGCTTTAAACATTTCCTTTGATTTCCTAAGACTTTTGCACAGTACTGTATATGCAACTGAATAGGCACTTATGGCTGGTGTGAGTGAATGTACTTGATTATTTTGAGGCATTTTAAGCTGCATTGTCATTTTATTATTTCTGTGCGGAAGAAATGAGCTGTTTGAGAGCAGAAACATCACCCAGTGGGATGATGATCTGCATTTTGCAGTAGTGATATAGTTCCAAAGTGATGAAGATAAAGAGATTGCTGATATTGAGAGTAAAACCTTGGAATATTCAGCCTCAGATGACAGAGCCATGAATCCAGTAACCTTATTGTGGTTGAGAGGTTTTTATGCCTCTGTTATCGTAGGAGCTATGTTGTTGGGGGCAGTTGCCCCTGGTAGGGTCTCCCAAAGGAAATTGATCCTAGATGAGTGGCCAGGTAAAGTGTGATTCAGAAAACTCTCATGGTTGATAAAATTCAGCAAGGTGTGACCCTGCCCAGATTGGGGAGACTGGGGTCCCACCCTGGAGCCAGGCTTAGCGGGTAGAGCTTGTGTGCAAGTGCCTGTTAGCCAGACCTCTACCAATGGGGCCCAGCCAGGCATAGCCCTACAGAGTGACATGGGACCATCTTCCAAAGGCCCACAATCTGCGGGGGGGGGCGGGGGTTTGGAGCAATGTAGATAGGTGGCGATCAAAGGCAGAGGCTTTGATAGACCGATTGTCGGCAAGCAAATATGGCATGTACATGGAATGTAACCATTCTTATGGCCAAGAAGCCTGAGTTAGTACGGGAGGTAGAGGGATACCGACTACATATGACTGTGCTATACCTAACGCACAGCTCGGGCTCTGGAACCAAACTCCTGAAGAGGGGCTGGACTTTATTCCACTCTGGAGTTGCCCTTGGTGAGAGGAGCCGGGCAAGTGTGAGTCTACTTATAACGCCCCCCCCCCCTCCTCATTTTGGTGCCAGTATGTTGGAGTTTACCCTTGTAAATTGCAGAAGCGGCTGTGTGGAGCTGTGACCATAAGGTTTTTGGTCGTGGTAGCCAACCCCCAACCCCAGTAGTGGACATCGATGGTAAAAGGAGCTGGATGACTAAAGAAGGACCCTTCTGAGCTTATTTGTCTGGTGGGCCTCCTGAACCGGCAGGCTAAGCAGCAAACGGCTTTGGCAGTTGCTGAAGCAAAAACAGGGGGGTGGGAGGTGTTGGGTGAGGCGATGGAGAAAGACTTTCGGTCAGCCTCGAAAAGATGTCCAACCAGGAGGAAACCCCGGGGCAGACCCAGGACATGCTGGAGAAATTATATCTCTCAGCTGGCCTGGGAATATCTTGGTATTCGCTCAGTGGAGCTGGAGGAGGCTGGTAAGAGAGAGGTCAGGGCATCCCTGCTTAGCCTGCTGTCCCCACGACTCGTTCCCAGGTAAATGGCAGATGATGTACGAATGGATGGATGGAAGGATGGATGAGAGAGGATGGTCTCAGTCTGAATTTTCAAGCTGTTGCGCATTATGCAGTATGCCTTAGTCACCATTTCTATACCAGATACAGCCATGTGTAGTTCATGACATTTATGTGAATGGCACAGTTTTGAATGCATTTGTTGAATTTTTGTCATGTATTGTCCAGAATGTTCTGCGGGTGTCTACCGAAAACCTGAGATGCTAATGTTGCACTTTGTGCTGTATTGAGCTTGACGGTAGAGAGCCTCATGTGTTCTACAAAGAACAACATTCATATGTGCAATGTCATACCATTATTTATTGAGCAATAACTTTACTTTTGGAAACCCATGCAGCAGGTGTGAACATTATTTAAGAACCGAAGAACATATTTATAGTTTGGAGAGAGTGTAAGCAGCCTGGTTCTCAGTGGGTGTTCAAGCTCTGCTAAATCAATGGTTTTGCTTGTTTCAGTTCTGTCAGCCTGGAGGATGGAGCTTGTCTTGCAAGCGGAAGCAGCCCACATTCTTCACTGTGGTACTGACTGACATTGACTCCAACAGACACTACTGTTCCTGCCTGACCTTCTTTGAAGCAGAGATCAACCTGCAGGTGAGAGACCCATGGACCAGCACCATTCGCCTTCCATCATTCCATCACTGCATATCATATCCAATAGGTTTGTTATGTCAAAGGAGACTTCTGGGGTCATACTTAAATGAAAAAAATAGCTAAATAACTCTTTCCCCCCATTGGGAAACCTATCAATCTCTTCAGTTACTCAGTCTGGAAAAAGCTAGTGGGGAACATGTACTCCATCAAAAGAGTGATGAAAAACAGTTGGGCGTTTTGAGAAGTATTCTTCATAGTTTTCCATTCACTTTTTTGAGCATTTCTTTTTTGTTTACTTAGTTCATTTTCTTGGAACCTAATTCTAATGACTCATCACCAAATTTACATTTGCCAAAAGCATTTAAATTCCCAGTGGTGGACTGGGTGTATCTAGGGTGTATCCCACCTTTCAACAACCATTTTTTCCTAGGATGGGTCCTCGGACCACTGGATAATGGAAAGAAAATTTAATTTAGATTATCCATAAAATTAAAGACGACGTGCCTAAAAATTGAGTTTGTGCTAAAGTCTGAGACCTCAATCGTGAAGCTTTTTTACAGGTTATGCTAATAGAAAACCAGAAATAGTAGAGTAGTAGAGTTTTTAAAAATTAGTCTTTGTATTAGCTTGCCATTTACAGCAATTTCTTTAAGATTAAGAACTGCACACACTTCAGTGAAGAGCTTATTTTTTTAGGAAGATGATGCGGCCAGTGAGCCCCACAGCTGACTTGAACAGGTCTGACAATGAATACATGAGATTTTTATCCTGGAAGCTTAGTTATATTAGTTGATCTTTTTTTGTTTTGTGTTGTTTTTTTGATTTTTTTTTACAGCCATAGAGGACTATTCTTGGATGACGTTAGATGCCACACTACTTCCTAAAAAAGCTCCACTCAAGTGATTTACATGGCAATGGATATTTATAAGTCACCGGCTGAAAATAAGAGTATTTCTTTGTGCTCTTGAATATTTTATGTTCTTGACTTCCGTTGTCTTTGTGTCTTAAACGTTATTGATGGTATGAGTATGAATCTGGCTGCTGTCTTCGTTTTAAACCTGTTCTGCAGTGCCCAAAGTAGACTCTGTTACCTGTAAATGTTTGCTTCAGTGCTTTGCAGATCTTAACCCAGGAAAAAAATCATCAATTTATCAACTTAAGTGCATAGACTTGAATTTCCCGTTATTTATAGACTGTTCTCTTACCCCTAAGGGGCCAGCAGAGAAAGTCCTTGTTAACGATGACAAATGGTCACTAAATACACTAATACTATGGCTATTGCTTTGAATTACTTAACAGCGGCTGCCACCTATTATTATGAAATCCCTTGTTGGTTTTGTTCCCCCTCACAGTGTAGATGACAGAGTGTTTTATTGATTTTTTGTCTGAGTGATGTTGTGTGGCAGCGGTTCTGGTTATGGTTCCACTAAAAAGTAGAGGCTCATTGATGTTCGAACAGCGAATAGAATGTTTTCACATTGTGGGCAGCTAAACACAGGCTTGCAGTCTACACAAGTACTGTTTATATAGCTGCATTTTAAATGATATCCATCAGTCAGAATTAGTGCAGCGATAATTAGTTAACCTCCCCTCTTAGCCTCTTACTAATATCCTGGACTGCACTGCGTCATGGATGCATTCGGACTGAATCAAGTGCTTTTTATTCTGGTGTTAAATGACTCTGATGTGTCGCATTCATTCTGCAAGACCATTTATGGCTGATGTCATTAACGTCAGATGAAAAGTGCAGTAATTAAATATCAGCTGACATCCATCCATCCACCTTCTAATTGCTTATCATGGTCAGGGTCACAGGGACCTGGAGCCGAACCCAGGCGACATAGGGCACAGGGCAGGGACACACCCTGCATGACTGATGGTAATATTAACTAACAAAAAATCTGGATGATTCATTCGGGGAATTACCCTCATATCTGTGTGTCTGTGACAGTTAGCGGTGTACAAATGCATCAGTGCATTGTGATGAATAGATGACTAAGATGGCAATCCAAGTCATTGATCAATTTTTAGGGGTAAAATAAAGATACTTATACTTCCGGATTGTGTGCTCTCACTTTCTTGTGCTGCAGGTAAATGTACAAATTGGAGTGCCAGGACGTGTATTTCTGAAATGTAGGATGGCAGTGGAAGGTTCATCCATCTATCCATCTCCTATCACTTTTCCGGGTCAGGTCGCGGGGGCAGCAGTCTAAGCAGGGAAACACAGACTTCCCTCTCCCCAGCCACTTCGTCCAGCTCCTCCAGGGGAATCCCAAGGTATTCCCAGGCCAGCCAAGAGGCATAGTCTCTCCAGCGTGTCCTGGGTCTTCCTCGGGGCCCCCTCCCAGTGGGACATGCCCGAAACGCCTCACCAGGGAGGCATCCAGGAGGCATCCTGACCAGGTGCCCGAGCCACCTCATCTGGCTCCTCTCGATGTGGAGGAGCAGCGGCTCTCCCGAATGACCAAGCTCCTCACCCTATCTCTAAGGGAGAGCCCAGCCACCCTGCACAGGAAACCCATTTCGGCCGCTTGTACTCGCGATCTCGTTCTTTCGGTCACTACCCACAGCTCGTGACCATAGGTGAGGGTAGGAACATAGATCGACTGGTAAATCGAGAGCTTTGCCTTTTGGCTCAGCTCCTTCTTCACCATGGACCGATGCAGCTCCCCCATCACTGCTGACGCTGCACCGATCCGCCTGTTGATCTCCCGCTGCATCCTTCCCTCACTCGTGAATAAGGCCCCGAGATACTTAAACTCCTCCAATAGGGGAAAGACTCCCTCCCCGACCTGGAGAGAGCATTCCACAATTTTCCGGCTGAGGACCATGGTCTCGGATTTGGAGATGCTGATTTTCATCCCAGCCGCTTCACACTCAGCTGCGAACTGCTCCAGTGAGAGCCAAAGGTCACGGTCCGATGAAGCCAACTGAACCACATCATCTGCAAAAAGCAGAGACCTAATCCTCAGGTCACCAACCCGGACACCCTCAACGCCCTGGCTGCGCCTAGAAATTCTATCCATAAAAGTTATGAACAGAATCAGTGACAAAGGGCAGCCCTGGCAGAGTCCAACCCTCACCGGAAACGAGTCCGACTTACTGCCAACAATGCAGACCAAGCTCTGACACCGGTCATACAGGGATTGTGCAGGCCTTATAAGGAAACCCGGCACCCCACACTCCCGGAGCACTCCCCACATGACTCCCCGAATGCCTTCTCCAAATCCACAAAACACATATAGACTGGTTGGGCAAACTCCCACGCACCCTCCAGGACCCTGCCGAGAGTATAGAGCTGGTCCACTGTTCCATGGCCAGGGTGAAAAACACACTGCTCCTCCTGAATCCGAGGTTCGACAATCCAGCGAACCCTCCTCTCCAGAACCCCCCGAATAGACCTTACCAGGGAGGCTGAGGAATGTGATCCCCTATAGTTGGAACACACCCTCCAGTCCCCCTTCTTGAAGAGGGGGACCACCACCCCGGTCTACCAGTCCAGAGGCACTGCCCCCGATGTCCACGCGATGCTGCAGATGCGTGTCAACCAGGACAGCCCTGCAACATTCAGAGCCTTGAGGAACTCTGGGCAGATCTCATCCACCGCCGGGGCCTGGGGGTGTTGATGCTACACCGCTTTCATGGCCAGAGCCGCCGGATGGTGGACCAGAATCTCCTCGAAGCCATCCGGGAATCGTTCTCCATGGCCTCACCAATCTCAGCGACCACCGAAGCCGTGTTCTGCTTGGCCCACCGTTACTCATCAGCTGCCTCTGGAGTCCCACAGGCCAAAAAGGCCCGATAGGACTCCTCCTTCAGCTTGACAACATCCCTCACCGCCGGTGTCCATCAGTTGGGCGGGGATTGCCGCCGCGACAGGCACCAGCCACCTTACGGCCACAGCTCCAGTCAGCCACCTCCACAATGGAGGCGTGGAACATGGCCCATTCGGACTCAATGTCCCCCGCCTCCCCCTGGACATGGGTGAAGTTTTGCCGGAGGTAGGAGTTGAAGCTCCTTCTGACAGGGGACTCCGCCAGACATTCCCAACATACCCTCACCATACGCTTGGGCCTGCCAGGCCTGACCGGCTTCCTTCCCCACCAGTGGAGCCAACCTACCACCAGGTGGTGATCGGTTGACAGCGCCGCCCCTCTCCTCACTCGAGTGTCCAATACATGCGGCCGCAAATCCCATGACACAACCACAAAGTCGATCATTGCACTGCGGCTTAGGGTGTCCTGGTGCCAAATGCACATATGGACACCCTTATGTTTGAGCATGGTTTTCATTATGGACAGTCCGTGACGAGCACAGAAGTCCAATAACAAAACACCACTTGGGTTCAGATCCCAATCACGCCACTCCAGATCTCATTGTTATTGCCCATGTGAGCATTGAAGTCCCCCAGCAGAACAAAAGAGTCCCCAGGAGGAGCGCTCTGCAACACCCCTTCCAAGGACTACAAAAAGGGTGGGTATTCTGAACTGCCGCTTGGCACATAAGCGCCAACAACAGTCAGTCCCTTCGTCACCCAAAGGCGAAGGGAGGCTACTCTCTCGTCCACCGCGGTAAACCCCAATGGACAGGTGCCCAGCCAGGAGGCAATAAGTATGCCCACCCCTGCTCGGCATCTCTCCCCGCGAGCAACTCCAGAGTGGAAGAGGGTCCAACCCTCCTTGAGGAGCCCAAGCCGTGCGTTGAGGTGAGCCTGACTATATCTAGTCGGAACCTCATAATCTCGCGCACCAGATCAGGCTCCAGCTAGGGCAGAAGACATCACAGGCCATACCTAGTGGACCATGGGAAGAAATGTGCCCAGCACACACAAACTCTAAACCAGTATCTCTCAAAATCAGTCCTCAGGGGACCCCCAGACGGTCCACGTCTTACTGGACTGTCTAGCAGGTTGCTGGGAGGCAGCAAAAATGTGGACCGCCTTGGGGTCTGTGAGAACTGGGTCGGGAAACACTTCTCTAAACCCCCAGCAACCCCTGGCAGTGCTGCCCAGTGAGTCACAGGTCTGCCAGGCCCCCCATTCTGCCCAGCCTTGCCCCTGGAGACCTACCACCCTGCAGAGCTTAGGTACTGCCCTAATTTAACACGCCTGATACAGATAGTCAGGCCCTTCAGTAGCATCTCCATATCCAAGCCGTCTTAGCTTCAACATAAACTTTACTAGATCTTCTGTGTCATACTTGTGTATTACCCCAAGAAAATTTAAACAATCTAAGAAAACTTTATTAATACTTTATTTAAATGGTTTTAGTTTTTTATCATTCTTTAACTTTATTTTATATTTTAAATAACAATTTTGATCATTTTGCATATCTTGAATTTCAACTCAGCTTATTTTAGTTATGGAATTTTTTTTTTTTTTTTTTTTTTTGATGTTCCAAATGAAGGGTTAGTGCAGTCTCTTCAGAACTCTGCACTATAATAACATCTCAGCTAAGCAGAGAACACTCCATTACGTAATTTTATTAAAGCACAAAAACAAATTTAGTTTGTGTATAAACACATCTAAATTATCTAACTTTTCTCAGTTTTTCCATCTGGGCCTTATGATTGAAAAGAAGCTTTTTTGTGTTTGAGCTATTGAATGTCTCCTTTGAGTCGCTGGTTTGTTACAATGCACAGCATTACATGAACTGCAGTCGGCATGTAAGATGACTTGCCTGCATACTGTAGATATGTACAGGTCCTTACACCAAGTCGCTCCTGTTCCTTGGCATCCTTCTCATGCTTTGACCTTTTACAAACCTATTCTCCTGGCCTGAATGCTTCAGCCCTCACCACCTTTAATTTTTTTTCTCTTCTGTATGCAATCATTTGTGTGAATGACTTTGAGCCCTTTCACTCTCCTTTAACGCCTCTTGTGATTGGTTGCTCTGCCTTTCAGCTATCATGTCCCAAACCACGGGTGAGGACAGACTCCTTTGAAAGCTCTCTCTGTTTCTGCTTTCGACTTTATTGCCAGTTAATTTTACTATGGGGAGTTTTAAATATAAATTAATTTTGAATGTTCTTGGCAACGTGTGTTTTTGTGAAGATGATACAGCTGCGTTAAAAGTTTTGGCTGCTCCACCAACCTTTTTTATTGTTACTAATTTTAACATGCAGAATTTATTTGAATTTCATAAATCTGTATTCACTCTGTGAATTTTAGTAATTTCATATTTTTCATTATGTTTAATATTTACATGCCAGATTCCATGTTGAATTATGTTAGATTAACCTTCCAGTTAAGTAAAATCAATCTTCCTGAACTGAAAAATCCAAAGATGACAACCTTTTACGTGATAATAATGGAACACGTCACCAAGGCTACCATTGTGTAACATGGCTAATGCATTTTCCTTCTTTGCTTTTTTAATTAGTATTATATCAATTGGTTTTTCTGCCATTCCCTGCCTCCCCTGAAACAGAGGGAGGCAATTTAAAAATCATTCAGTGCTGCCAGAGGTGAGACCTCCCCCCCCCAAAGGCCGGGCCTGTAACAGCTACTCAAGTGGATTGTTGAATAAGTTTGGGGGGTTGGGGGTCAGGCTGCAGTCCCTAGCCAGGCACATGGGGGCCCAGGCTGGAAGCTGGCACCTTCTTTTGTTCATTTAGCTCTTTGCCGGGACCCTGTTTCCCCATCTTTGTCGGAGGACAGAGTCGGCGGCTGTTGGTAAAGTCATCGGTTACATCCTGGGCCTGCACCAGGACGGAAAGCAGTGCCGTCATTCCTGCGGCAGCTGGACCTCTGCCGTTCCTTTGGATTTGTATCAGCTTGTTCTGCTCGGAGACTCCATTATGCAAAGTGTGCTGCCACTCTAATGTATTACAGCAAGACCTGCCCTGCTCCTGCTTTGACCATGAGGTCATCACAAGTCACTATTGTACTTCAAGTAGTCTTATACAGGGTACCAGACACAATTTAAGATAAATAAACAAAGTCTGAAATTAGGGAAAGGAAGGTATGATTGCTTAATAATGCCAGTTCTTTCTTTCTTTTAGGGTCTGAAGGCAGGCGAGAGAGATGGGGATGAAGATGGAGAAGAGGTGGATGGTTTGATAAAGCCCGCTCAAGTGTTTGCACCTAAAAGTCTTATTCTGGTATCCAGAGTGGATTTACCGGATATATTTCGGGTAAAGTCAAAATATTTAAATTTTAAATACATAAGCCTCATATTGACAGTCAACTGACATACTGTTTACTCTCCGGTCACTTTTAGAGTTGCCTGCATTTGCACTGACTAAAGGACAGGATTATCTCCTTGGAGAAGCTCTCACTCGTCCTTGCCTGTCCCCAGAGACAGACCTCGCGACTCAGTGCCAATCATTCTTTGACTTGTAACAGTAGACGCACCAGACAGATATGATGAAAGCCACGTGCCAAAAACGGGGCTCCAGCCAGTTCTGCCCCCCCCACCTTTGTGGGACAGACTGTTTAGACCTGCTCTAGGGGATCCTGGATACAATTTGCAAATGTCACAGTCTAGATCTGCACCAAGATCTGACCGTTAGGAATTAGTCTTCACTTCGCAATAGCACAGTGCTTTGGAGGCGTCTTTTTTTGATTATAACTTTTTAAACGTTTAAAAATGTATTTCAAAAATGCAGTTTGAGGGACACAAAAGTAGTATACTGTGTTTTCCCTTATGCCACAGTTTCTGTTCGTGCTGCACATAATCTTGGATGGTAGCTTGTGGGAGTCTTGTATGTAAAAAATGTTCTGAGGGCAGAACAAAAAATTATTGGCTTCAGAAAGATAACAAATCAGATTGTAGAGGGGGTGGGACCAAGCAATTAGATGTCTTGGTCCTGTCTGCTGTAGTTGCTAAGACCCACCTCCTCTACAATCTGATTGGTTTCCTCTCTGAACCAATTATTTTTCGTTCTGCCCTTATAACATTTTTATCTAAGTAAATCTCTCATGAGTGGGATGGAAAATTGAGGAGAACCCTGCGGTGAGCCAGACGGAAAAGGTCTGCTCGATGTGTTTGCTGACAGGGAACTCTGTTGGAGGCTCATATTGAGTTACATTGTGCCAACATCTGAAGCCCGCTCGCCAATGGCATGGTCTAAAGTTGCACAAATATCAAACCATTGTCGATTTGTTTATTGGTTTGTCTATTATAGAAAGCAATTGTAAACAGAAACTGATCTGACTTACATCAGATCAGCATTCAAAAGCAATATGTTTAAAACATTTTCTCACGTTTTTTTCTTTAGTTTCAAAATCTGTGTAATTGCAGATTTCCATGCCGCTCGTAACACTAATGCCTGAAATTGCACTGTGACAATTACATCAGATTTGCTGTATTGGTTTATGATGGATGGATTCACATGCACATTGTTGTACTAACCTCTTGATGACTCCCATCTGTTAAGACCAAAAAATCCATCAGCATGTCAGCTGCTTAATGATCTGAGTTCTGGTTTTTGTATTTCCACTAATAGCAGATTTAGATAAAAACATGTAAAGCATTCTTAAGCAGCCGTGTTGTATGCATTAGTGCGAAAAGTACTTGATTTTGTAAAATGTATTTATTTTTCTACCTTTGTCAACTTTTACTGACTCCTGTTCTGAGTTTGCGTCAATAGTCAAATTTTGTTTTTGACATTGTGGTTTTCTTGTGGTTGAGTATACATGCTAAGTCTTGCCCATGCCTCAATCGTGCAGGGCTGCCTGGGTCTGATTTACACAGTATACATAGACAGCCTCAGCTTCCCGCTGGAAAGCCTGGTGGCCAACCTGCTTACCTGCATCGTACCGCTGGCTGCAGGATCTCAGGTGAGGCCAAACAAGGACGTCCACAAATTCTTCTGGTGTGTCTTAAGAAGTAAGGTCCAGAATTCAACTACAGGTGACTCCGTCTAGTGTAAATTTGATTACTGGATTCTCTCAACTTATGTAAATGAAGAATTAAGGGTTTAGAAATGAAACACACAATTTTTTTTTTTCATATTTCCTGTTTGATGAGTTTGTTTTATCGGAATCCACAAATAAATGACATTTTTGAGCTTCATAATCATCATTTTTCTGCCACTATTCCTGGTTGGAGCATGCTGTGAAAGTCAGATTATACCTTGTTTTCCTTGGCCACAGACTCTTGCCATTTCTGGGGAATCCTAGACGTTCCCAAGCCAGCTATGAGATGTAATCCATCCAGCGTGTCCTGGGCCTTTGCTGTGTCCTCCACAATTTGGGACGTGCCTAGAGCAGCTCCCTAGGGAGACATCCAGGTGGCATCCCCCTAAAGTGCCCGAGCCACTCGCCTTCATCTGATGGAGCAGTGGTTCCGTTTTGAGGTCCCTCTGGATGCCTGAACTCCTCATCTTGTCATGTAGAGTGAGTGTGCAGCCTTGTGAAGAAACCTCATTCCAGCCACTCGTACTTGCGATTGACTTACACCCTGCTTTACTAATGCGAACCTCTTCAATGCCCACAAAACCACAGTCAGCTGTGGCTGTGAGGTGCTGCTCCCCATCCCTATTACCTCACATACAGCAGTGACTCACTCACCCCCCCCCCCCCCCCCCCCAACCAAGATGTTTGTTCCTTATTCCTTAACCTCTATGAAATCTCAGTGAATATCCCCGATGAGTGCACCCTTAATGGAGGCCAACACCAACTCTAAATGGCTTTGATTTTGATTTTAGTTCTTACTGTTTTCACACTGGGACCACATAGTCTACAGTAGCAGCCCTGATACCCCATCCTCCTGCGGTAACTCCAACAGGATCTGCCAAGGTGGCCATACGCTTTCTCCAAATCCACAAAGCACATGTGGACCGCGTTAGCATATTCCCACAAAGCCACACAAAGCTGTGCCAGCTGAGCGAGACAGAGTCGATCTGCTGCTCTACTGCTGGACTTGAGTTCCTCCGAATTCCTGAATGTGACCATCTGGTGGAGTCTCTTCTCTGGAAGCCTGGAATAGACTTTCCCATTTAGACTGAGAATTGTGATCCTCCACATTTGGAACGCAACCTTTTTGTCCCCCTTTTTAAAAATATGCACTACAGTAAAACCCCTTTTTGCCAGTCCAGAGGTACTTTGCCTGCCTTCCATGCAACATTAAAAGGGCATGTTAAACACATCACCCCAACAACTTCCAGTGCTCTCAACATCTCTGGATGGATTTTATGCAGTCTTTCCTTCCCAGAAGCTTCTGACCACCGTGGCAATTTCAGCTGCAGGGGTAGAAACTCCTGGTAGATCAGTCTGTCAGTGCCTCCTGAAAAGAAGCCATGTTCACTGGGTTGAGATTCCACAAGCTCTTCTTTCCATAGCTCATCTCGATTGTTCAGGCCTTCTGGCCTCCTCCTCATCTGCCAAATCACCAAGTGGTGATCACGTAATAGCTCTGCCTGTCTCTTCACTTCAAAGTCCAAAACACAGCATCCAATCAGATGAGACAGCTCTAAAGACCTTTGGGTATGGTGCTCTGGTACCATGCACACTTATGAATATCCTTGTATTCAGACTTCTTTCCATGGATTGTTCCTGGCTTATGCAGAAATCCAATTACAATTAGCCACTTGTTGATATCCAGGAGGCTTTCCCAGAAACTTGGATGCTCCAGATTGCTGTCAATAGCCACGATCTAACCCATCTGGTCCTTTTTGCTCATGCCTGCCACTCAAATGGCTAACCCTGACATCACCCTTTAACCATGACATCATAGTTAGCCAACAAGATGGCTCCACACTGCCTTTTCAGGCTGAGCCCAGCTGGGTTATGTGGATGGCTTTTATGGTTGAGACACATCTGGAAAACGCCAACCCCAGCACCTGCTCCGTGAGTGAGTCCCGGTAACTCTATTGGGTTTTTTTTTTTTTTTGATTGAAGCCTGTCTGACCTCTCCCTATTCACCAAGGGAGGCCCCACCAAGAACTCACTCTCCATATGACATAGCTCTGTGGATCATTAAGGCATGCAAACCCCTCCACCATGCTAAGATAATGATTTTTGGAGAGGTGTAACTGGTTACACTTGCAATTTTCAGACCATTTGCAAAAAATTGGCAGTACGATTTTTATTCCCACAAGATATAATTGACTTAATTTAGAATTGCTATACTGAAAAGCAGGCTTGATATGTTCTTTTTGTATTATTCCGTGATCACAGCTTTCTTGTCTGGAAGCATGCTCTCCATTGCCCCTGAATGAGAAGCAAAGAAAGGTTATTGGTTTGGGTACCAGTACGGTTGGAGGCACATTGTGAAACCAGATTAATTATATGAAATTTCCTTGCTTCTTGTTGCTGTACATTAATAACAATATCTCTAATATACCAAAGCACTGATTACCTTTTAATGGACTTTTGTGATCAGGGAAGAACTCAGCAGGTGAGGTTTCCTGTGGTTTGGCCTCTTTGTAGTTTTAATTTTTCTCTCCATGGCAGAAGCTCTTCTCACTGGGAGCAGGTGACCGACAGGTGATCCAGATTCCTCTGAACCGGAACCTGCCTGTGACCTTTAAAAGTGTGGCTCTTCTTTTCCAGCAGCTAGGTTAGTATGAGTGTGCTCACTGTCCTTTAGCTTGTATTTTTTATGTGTAATTTAACATGGACTATTGTCAGTATGCAGCAAGACGTACCACTGCAATCACATGTACTCCTCGAATGGGCTTAAGTTTAGCACATTATCCTGCTTTAATGAAGCGCGTTAATAGTTAAATATTATTACTGATAGCATATCTATCATCAGTTTGACAAAATGTAGAACTTATCATGAGCCTTTACAAACATGACGTAATAGTATCTTGTGTTGTTTATCTAGATGCCTCTTGAAATTGTCATGAAGTCATGAAATTTGTAATGTTTGAACAATTAGTCAGAAGCTGCTTGACATTGATCAAGCCCCCATATAGTGGTTTAAATACGCCAGAAAAACAAGTTTTATGCACAATGGCAACAAAGGTTCATAAAGTTTTCAACCAGAACAACTTTAGTGGATTTATATTTGAACAAATCAACAATATTTTGGAGATTTAAAAAGGCCAGCAGTTTATTTAGGTGACAATAAAAGCAGGCGCTTAGATGATTAGATTACAAGAACGTTAGTCACCTCATTGTATTATTCATGCAAACAAAAAACAAAGTGCCTTTATTAGTATAGATTTAGTTAAGAAAATTAGAAACCTTGGGTCATAGCCCTTTGTACTTAGTGGTATCTCTAGTGTTTCTGAGGCCTTATCACTTATATTTCTTTGACATCACTAGGAGGCTTGTTAGAAGGAATCCTTTTTGAAACATGATTTAATAGCCTGCATCACTTGCATCATTTTGAGTGTGCATATTGCTATGACTGCTTAATTGGCAAAGTATTTCATAGCATAGAAGAGGAAAATGACAGGACTTAACCATTACACCAGATTGTTGCTTCATTTGGGGAGTACTATAAATTCTTCTAAATTTGTAAATCTTTAAATTAGGTTTCTCGGGAGGAAAGTATTCCTGAAGGGGTCCAGTACTGTGGCCTTAATTTTTCTTGAATTTTCCTCTATTACGTTACACAACCCAAGCAGCACAACTGGATGGATAATTTGATCCTGATTAGTGAGCCTTGTGGATCTGGCTTTCCAGCAATACGTGCACTGAGTGATCCATATCGACCCAGCCCGGCCCAGAGTCGGCTCTGAGCCCAGAAGACGATATTCTCTGGTTATTTGCAGTCTCCAGTCTTGCATTGTTTTGCTAATGAACAACACATTTATCAAAGAATGTGTCCTGTCAAAAGGCCAGATTTCTGAAAATTCTTACTTCCGTCCACATACCTGATCAATTATGAAGCTGTCCTGGGAAATGATGTAATTCACAGATATGGTTTTTGCAGATTTTGAAATCTAATTTTAGAATATTGAGTGAAAGGCTAATGCAGTAGATTTCTGTATATATATGTATAGTGTTGAACTAGAAAAAAAAAATCATAATGTATTTTCATTTATCCTAATATAAATACTAGTATTTCAAAGGTGATTTGGTCTCACTAGGTTTGGATATTTAATAGCTAAGTGTTGGTTGAATATGTAGCACTAACCTGAATCAATCTAACGACTCTTTCTTAGCAACATTACTAGGATGTTTATTCTCAGCATCACCATCTGTGAAGATACATCTCTATGTATCAAGATCATAGTTGCTGCCCAATTTATTTTTGCTGTCTTCATCTTAGTTGGTCATTTCATTTCATGACATACTCTTCTGATTGTAGTAGTGCAATATTAATAATGGTCCATAATGGAGGACACTATGCAGATTGTTGCATGCTTCCTTAATTGTAACTTAACCTACTTTCATGACCTACGATGAAACCTTTTAGCCCTGTTGTTATGCACATGGTGGCAGTGTCATTGTCCTTGATGGACACACTGAGGTTCCTCTTTTCTGTCATAATGTTCACTTTTGGTTTTCTTCTACTACTGCAGTGGTTTTGAGCTTAAATGGGAATTACAGCTATGGTATTTTTATTGGTATTATTATTTAAATTTTATTTATTGTAAAACAAGATCCTACTTTACTTAGCAGTGTTTCTTCCTTATCCTATGTGCTGGTACAAAAAATTGATTCTCGCTAGGAGACCTGATTTTTTGGTCTGCTCCGAAATGTTGGTGGACATGAACAATCCACCTTCCCGTGGATCTCAGGGCAGAGAGAGTTATATGATTCCGAATGATTATTGAGAATTGTGTGAAACTGCAAATTACTTGCTGTCACCTCAGGGCAAGTGAGCCTCATGCTAGACACAGCAAAAAAAAAAACACAATTTTGTGTAAATTCCTGCTTTCAGGTTTGGCATATTCCCCTTTATGTTTCCATAAATAGGCAATAGGCAGCTTTTTGGATTACAAGTTCATGTCCTTAACTGTGATGTTACCTGCTGCCCTATTTGACGAGAAGCTTCTTGACCCGTGTTTTTCCTCCCGTTCCTTATATAGAACAGTGGCAGCAAACTCTTCTGAGTTGAAGGGCAAACCATCTGAAATCCTGCCGATGTTTACAAATACTTGCCGTATAAATAACTTCTAGTATTTTTCTTGCTGTTCAACAGGGAAAGTGGCAATATAGATATCTGCGATCTGTTTTCCGTAATGTCCTATCCGATGTGAGGTCGTAGCATGTGTAATGATTGTACTTAATGAAAATGGATGTTTGTAAGGGTATCTATGAATGTATTATATATGACATATATATATATGATACGATAATTGCACTGGATAAGCAAAACAATAAAACATGTATTTTTCTATTTTGGGGGCGCATTATGGGGTAGAGACACATCATACTAGCCAATCAGGTGAGAACTTCTTCGAAAGGAATTTCTGTGACATGGGGGGGGGGGGGAGAGCACGTGTCCCGCCCACGCGAAGCACCTGACGCCGCAAGTCATAGCAGAAAAATTTCCTGTGTGTGTGTCACACTGAGCAGGAAGAGCAGCCCCTAGGGGAGCAGCGGGAGTGAGAAATAACAGCCCGGGTGATTTCTGCTCTGTCGCCGTCTGTTCTCTTTGTGGGGCTGGAAGTGTGTACAGATAAGTAAACAGCTCAAGGACAGAAAAGAAGTACAGCTAAATTTCTTGGCGGTCTCCAAGAACCCATCGCCTCCAAGCTGAGTCCTGGAACGGCCAGTACATTACACATCACGCTGTCTGTATTTATCAAATAACTACGTTCTCCATCAGTTGCATGGCAGCAGTAAGACACAATAGAACAAGTGCATGGAGTCCTTCTTAATTATTACCAAACTTGGGATATTTCTTTAGGTACATCATGGCCTTACTATGGGTTTATGGAGTTCTGTGCGTTAGCTAAATAAGCTAGCCGAAGGTCAAGTTGCCTTTCCTTATTTTACTCAGGATATGTGCCATCTGAATGCTCAATATTATGTTCCTGTTTACTGGTGAACCGATTAAAAGATATTTATGTCAGCATTTTTTTTTCTAATGTGATTAATGATTCCAGTGATAGTGTGATAGCGAAGAATAACAGGAACTGTAAACTTGAAATCTGTCAGAATGGAATTTTCTGAGGATGTGATCCAATGCACCACTTTTGAATGGTTTTTTAATTATTATTATTATTTTTGTCATCGTTATATGTAGTCTGTGACTCAGCGCCCCTACTCCTCCGAGGTTTAGGGATTTCAAACGCATCTGCACTGCGTGTCAGTACTTCATGTGTTCTCTGTGTTGCACAGGCCAGGAATTTAGTGGGTTTCCGTATTGGTCTTGCTGCAGTTGGATCCATTAATGTATGTAGTGTGTGTATGTGTTTGTGCCCTGGGATGGACTGGTATCCCATCCTGGGTGAGTCCCTGCTTTGTTCCATACAAGGCTCCCCGCAGCCCTGTACAGGATAGCACAAATGGAAGGATTATTATTTGCTGTGTATACTGTACATGCTGTGCATGCATTACAAACATTAGTACCACAGTGGCACAGGTGGGACTAGGTGGTCCTAAAATGATCGTGTCTGACAGGTACATGTGTGCATGGTGAGATCAGTACCAGGAAATGTGCTGTTGAGAGGCAAATGGATTTTTCTTTCCTTTGGTAATTTTGTCTTAGAAATGCCAGGTGTCATTCAGAAACTGATAAAATGTGATTTTGTCACCAAATGAATTATTATGGGACTGGCCCACCTGACATTTTGCCCTCCCAGTCAGGTTATGATTTCTGGCTCTGCTCTTGATACATTGCAGTTGATTTTTTAATTAACAGACCTGGCAATGCTGTGAGTCTGGAGTAGGCTGGTGACGATACCAGAAATTTAGTGGTTCATACCAATACCAGTGAAATTCCACAATTCTTGATAACCAATTCAGTACTACAGTAAAAAATAAAAACAAAACAATAAATTACATGTACTTCAACATACACTCCTTTATTAAAAAAACATGTGAACATTTCAAAAAACAAGAGTATCATGTAGCCTTCAAGTTTTTTAAACAAACTATACTGTGTTTATGATATAAACATTCAGCTTTTCATGGCAAAGCATTATAATTACAATACCCAGGAGAGACATGAAAAAAATATGGAAATAATAAATAGAAAACAGGAAAATCAAAGGCAACAAAGTGACGATGTCACCAATCGGAATGAGCTTAAATGTAAGTGTTGTAATGTAGGTCTGTAACTTTGAGAAAAGCATCACCAGGAAGGTCACCAGCTTAAGCAGAATGTTTTCAATGACAAACCACAAAATCATTTATGGCAGTGTAAAAACGTTACAGTGTAGATATTTTTTTTAATCTGCATATGTACCAATTTTAGAAATCAGTTTGTAGTCTGTTAAAATATCATGACTGTCTGGATTTGAATTAAACATGTTCATGGAAGTATTACAAGTTGTTCAAGAGTAATAAGCAATTAATTTCAGGTTATGTCCTATTTAAAATATATATTTTAACGGGGCAGTGGTGTGCTTCAGATGGGGACTGGAACACTTTTAGGCATATAAACTGCTCACATCTGGTCTGGCAGAGATGCATCCCTGGTAACTACAATATTGCAGAAAAACTGAATTTTGGCCTCGACTTTGTACTGAAATATCGGTTCCCCTACACCGGAGATGTAGATTGATGATGTGAAATCACATTGTCACAGCTGTCTGAAAGATTTCAGTATTAATATCACCTCCATAATGTTGGGTAATGATGGCAGTCTCCCCTAAATTGAATCCTCTTGTAGTGAAACTGGGTAGTCAAGATATACAGGTAGGATGTTAGGATTTCCTTGCTGTCCAAGCAAATGTAATTGATTTTTTTTCTGATCTTTACTGTTTTAGGGATCCAGAATGTCCTCAGCCTGTTCTGCGCAGTGCTGACAGAGCACAAGGTTTTGTTCCATTCCACCAGCTACCAGAGACTGGGAGATGCTTGTCGTGCTCTGGAGTCACTTATGTTCCCACTGAAGTACAGGTGAGGTTTTTCTCTCGTTAAGGGAGTAAAACTTCAGCTGGTCTCTCAGGGCTGGTGTGCACTTTTATTTTAGAGCAGCAGAACACAGGTATTTGGTGGGTTTTTTGCATCTCCATGGCGTTTGATCTTCAACCCAAGCCCAGAGAGGTCTTCACTGATGAGACATAGCAGGCCCTGCTGGCACTCGTAGGGTTTGACCTGTATTCCTCAAGTTTCTCTGTACTCCATAAGTTTTATACATTTGGTTTCTGCTTTTGGTTGTTTCACTTTAAAGGGCCTTATGGGAATTTTATGTGCAAGTATTTTCTGAGTACTTTTGTCATATCTTTCCAGTGTGAGGTGCATCTGTTTAACCTTGTGGGACCCTCTACCTCCCAAAATGTGATAGGTTTGACACAGCATGATGTCATATACATACACCTTCAGTTTTACACTTGTCTGCATAGAGTAGCAGTTGTAGTTTGTCCATACCATTGAAATTACCATGCAGGTAATTACCATCTGTTTGTGAAGAGTCTGTCCGTTCACTAATCAGATAGTGTTTACCTGTCTAAGAAGATGCTTTTATTAACATAATGCTAATGTAGATGTTTTGTATTTTTTTTTTGGAATTCCTTTAATCTTTATTGAATGCTGAGTCATAACTGTTCCTCCTCTCGTTCTTTCTGGACCGCAGTTACCCATACATTCCCATCCTGCCGTCACGCTTACTGGAGGTCCTGAGTTCCCCAACACCTTTCATTATAGGTGTTCACTCCGTCTTCCAGAGTGACATACAGGACCTGGTGAGCTTGGCGCCCTCTGTGCATCTTGTCCCCCGATACGCTTGGCTCAGGAATCCACGTAATTGCTTTTACGGTAGATTCAGGAGCATTCATGGACTTTGACAGAGGTGTTAATTTGTGAGCTTTAAGCGCAGCTGCGTGCGAAGGGTCAATCTGCTGGTTATGCCTGTTCCCTGCACAGCTGGATGTCATCATCGCTGACCTCGATGGTGGGACAATAAAGATCCCGGAGTGCATCCACCTGTCCTGCCTGCCGGAGCCGCTGCTGCAGCAGACCTGCAGCGCCCTGTCCATGGTGAGTTCTGCCAGCCGCATTGACGCGTGTTCATGGGCCGTGTTCATGGGCCGTGTTCATGGGCCGTGTTCATGGGCCGTGTTCATGGGCCGTGTTCATGGGCCGTGTTCCATGCCCCATTAGCATCATCACCACTGACCAATGTATTTGATTCTGTTCTGCTCATGAGCAGGTTACTTCATTTTTGAGAAGCAGGTTAACTCACCCAGGGAGACTGCAGTATTCCATTGTGGTGTAACTGTGTGATTATCTGGTCATTGTTTGATAGTAATACACTTTCATTCTGTTCTGCCCTTCAGATTAAGAGACCAGTCATGTGATTACATAAGAATATAAGAAATTTACAAACGAGAGGAGGCCATTCGGCCCATCAAGCTTGGCTATTAAGCTTTGTAATGGGCCAACCTGCCAATGATTTCATTTTATTTTAAACAGCATTTTTTTGCCACTGAGAGCTTGCATTTTGTCAACTCCGTCAATCGCACAAAAATTCATAATACAGTGGAAACCGTTTATAGTGATCACTTGTGTCGAGGTGAAATTGATCACTATAAGCAGATGATCATTATAGCCAGTGTTCTTTTCTTCTTTATGTCTCAGGCAGATTATCATCTAATTGATATTTATATATTTATTACATAAATACAAGGTAATATAATGAACAATGTCACAATTTACTTAATTTTATTGATGATTTCAAATACAGTACAGCTATACAAATTAAATTACAGAACTGTGTATAGTTAAAATACGCAAAAATACAGTACAGTACTGTACAGAAATATTCAGTTAAATTTTATTTACACACAAATAACACACAGTAGTAACTGAATTTTTTATTGACATGAACTCATTTAAGACATTAATAAGATTAAATAATTCTGAGCATAGTGGAAAGAGATCCATCTGACGGAGCTGACATCATATAAAACAGCGATTCTCAACCCATGTGCGAGGCAGTGTTGGAAATGTAAGCATTTAAAAACTAGCAAGCTCCTTCGCTGATCCACAATCAGATTTCATTTCCATTCATCAAAACCTTTAAAATATCTGACAGTGTCATGCTCGGCTCGTTCGATCCTCGTGTGTGCCACGCCCCCCTCGTTACCTCGTGTTACTTCCTGATCGGGATCACCTGTTGCTTGTTCAGTTCAGCCTGTCTTGTGTATTTAGTCCGCGTCTGAGTTAGTCTGCCCAGATCTGTCATTAATGCTGTCTGACAAAGCGCATAGACAGGCAGACAGGGACAGGACCAGGCACTACGTCAGACAACATTAATTTATTGTTAGTTTTAGATTTTGAAGGCTTTTAACACATTTTTAACTGTTTGAAGTCATCAATTCTTGTCTGGGACGAGGATATTTTCTGGCCAGGTCAAGTTTAGAAGGTAAGGTAAGGAGCAGGCACCATGAGTGCAGCCATGTGGCGGGTGATACCTCAGCACCACACCAGTCCAAACGGACCAGTGTGAGGTTTTTTCCAGTGGCTGGAGTGCCAATCCTGCCACCAACCCCCAAGTTATTCCCTGTAAGTTGGAGGACCTCCTTATAGGACTGGATGTAGATTAACATCATACCCAGGATGAAGCAGTTGCAGGTTAAGGGCCTTGCTCAAGATTTCACCAAAAATTGCAATTAGTATGTGTATATGTAATATTTGTAATGTTTTTTGGTATGATGTGATTTGGCCCAATTCTGAAGAATGGGTGAAAGGTGAAATTTTATTTTTTGCCAAACTTTTATTCAGCATGTCAGACGCACAATCGTTACAGCTCATATAGGGGATGTTATATGACATTAAAATGTGTCACAGAATAATCAGCTGATCAGTCTTTCTTTTTTCTCGCAAGGTTTTACATCCTGACCTTGAGGTGGCCGATTACGCTTTCCCTCCCACTCATGTGGCCACGCCCAACATAAAGCACCTGGTAAGAACATGTTAGAACCCTAACACGTACCTTACAAAAATGGAGAGGATCTAACACAGACCGTCAATAGCATGAATTTATACTCTATAGATACAGCATATATTTCATGTCGATTATGTTTATTTTTGATGGGGTTTTTTTTTTCTTCAATCACTGTAAAGTTTATAATTATACTGCTACAGATTTTAATGAAATGATCAAATTTACCAGGGTAGAGTTCCATCTAAAACACAAACTGTGTCTTTGAGCACTGCTGTATCTCATACTGTAGAAATGTTCAGGGATTTCTCAGCCAGCTCATGGTCATATTTATGTTCGGTTTCGGGTTTACTTTTATCCGCTAATTAAATTCACTAGACATGCAATTTGTCACCCCACCAATGCAAAAACACCTTTCCATGCCTGTCTGCGTCTGCCCTCATCTGCCTGTACCTGTCTGCGTCTGCCCTCATCTGCCTGTACCTGTCTGGGTCTGCCCTCGTCTGTCCATGCCTGTCTGCGTCTGCCCTCGTCTGTCCATGCCTGTCTGCGTCTGCCCTCGTCTGTCCATGCCTGTCTGCGTCTGCCCTCCTCTGCCTGTACCTGCCTGCGTCTGCCCTCCTCTGCCTGTACCTGCCTGCGTCTGCCCTCGTCTGTCCATGCCTGTCTGCGTCTGCCCTCCTCTGCCTGTACCTGCCTGCGTCTGTCCACGTCTGTCTATGCCTGTCTCCGTCTGTCCACGTCTGTCTATGCCTGTCTGCGTCTGCCCTCGTCTGTCCATGCCTGTCTGTGTCTGCCCTCGTCTGTCCATGCCTGTCTGTGTCTGCCCTCGTATGACCATGCCTGTCTGCGTCTGCCCTCGTATGACCATGCCTGTCTGCGTCTGCCCTCCTCTGCCTGTACCTGTCTGCGTCTGCCCTCGTCTGTCCATGCCTGTCTGTGTCTGCCCTCGTATGACCATGCCTGTCTGCGTCTGCCCTCGTATGACCATGCCTGCCTGCGTCTGTCCACGTCTCTTCCCATCTGTCTAACTGTCTCTGTCCATGTCCTGCAGGATAAGGATGTGCGGGCTGTGTTCCTCTGGCTCTTCGCACAGCTCTTCCAGGGTTACCGGTCCTGCCTGCAGCTGATCCGCATCCACTCTGAGCCGGTCATACAGTTCCATAAGGTGGGTTACCACACATAATCCCCCCCCGGCTAGGAATTTGCCTTGCAGTGTCTCTGGTGACCTCTCACAGGGCCTTTCGCCCCATTTCCCCTCGAACCCCTTGCCCTGTGCCCGGCTTCCATTACAGGCCAGGAATTTAGCACATTTCCGTCTGTCAGCATTAGCATGTTGTGTGGTATCCTTTACGGTGGAGACCTTAAATGTTTAGGGGGAAAGGGCCATAAAAAAATTCACCTTTGCATATAATATCATGCTTATTAAATTTAGACCTTTTTATTTCTGAATGATATACCGGTGCTATGTGTGCAGATATTAATCATATTATGATTCAAAAACTTATTTTGCAATTGTCATTTTTCACTGTTAATTTTTAATATAATTTAAGCCTTTCCATATTGTTCAGTATCAAGTAAGACATAGATGTGCTGTCCTGCATGCAGTCTGATAACTCCATTTCAGAAATGCTCAGTAAAAAAATGCTTCTCCAGACAGCCTTTCTGGACCAGAGGGGCTTAATCGAGAACGACTTCCTCGCCAAGGTGATGGATGGCATGGCGTTCGCCGGCTTCGTCTCCGAGAGGGGCCCCCCCTACAGGGCCTGCGATCTGTTTGACGAGGTATGGCTCGTTTGCGTGAGCTGCGGCACATTCTGGAGGCCCGCGCCAGCATCTGGCAGGTGACGCTGGCCTCCAAATCGAGTCCAGATCCATGACATGAAAGGAGAGCTCAGGCTGCGCTTTGTGTTACTGGTGCGGTTGCGTTACACGCGAAACACAGGCGACGGAGGCTGGAACTGGCAGGTGGTGGGGCTACTGGTGCCACTGGAGATGTGTCGCACGTACAGTCTGTCGCATCTGCGGAGATGCTGTCCCCTTGCTGCTTGTCTGCCCCCCCCCTGTTATTATTTCTGCTCAGCAATTCTCTCCCCCTGCATGCAGCTGGTGGCCTTGCCTCCGGAGCACTTTAAGGAGGAAGCCGCAGACCCAGCTAAGCTGCAGCAGCGGATCCGTGAGATTTCGGAGCAGCTGTACAAGAACGTGAGAACCCCTGGTCCGGTCCTTCCCTCTCACGCACTTGCTAGCAGACTGGCTGGTCGTGTCCAGGTACGGCTCCATGCGATTTTGTGCCTTGTGGTCCACAGGAGAATCCCAACCCACACATGGCATTCCAGAAAGTTCCACGTCCCACCGAGGGCTCCCACCTCCGCGTGCACGTCATGCCATTCTCCCGTGTGGATGAGGGGAGCGTGCAGGCGCTGCTGGAAGAGGGACTGGCCAAGCACCACAGCACTCCCACAAGCAAATGCCCTGAGAAGAAGTGTGTGGTCCCCCCCGGGCCAGCAGTAGGTATGTGTCTTACAACCCGTCTCACCCCCCCAGGTGCCAATCCGCCCCCAGGCTCGTGCTGTCCCCCAGACGCCTTTGCTTCCTCTGTCAGCTGCCAGCCACCAGTCTGACACAGCACTGCTTCCCCACCATAAACACTTCACACGTTACACTTCCTATTTGGACTCAATCATTACCTTTAATGATGGACTTTAGTCAAATATTTCCTTCGATGTGAGTATAAAAGATTGAAACCCATCTTCTGCCATCCTGGGTTGGTTCGTGCAGCATATCAGGTTTTATGCGGGGGAAAAACCTTCACAATATCAGTGATTATAGATGTATGACGAAACGGAATGAAGTCAAACTGTTATAGGGAGAGGAGTGTGACCTTATGTGAGCCTCATGCCCCAGCAGCGTCCATCTTTGGCCAGACCGGCTCCGTCTTCAACAGCGCCCGGAGACTGGAGGTGGTGAGGAACTGTGTCACGTCCATCTTTGAGAACAAGATCCTGGAGACGGAGAAGGTGTGTAGCTTCCCTGGGAGCCTCTGTGGTCTCACTGCAGGAGCGTCGGAGATCTCAGCCGCAGCCGGAACCCGGATTTTGGGACTGATGGATTTTTCCAGTGGATGACCGACTTGTGTTAATTGATAAACTAATAATATAAATTTCATATAAAATTTGAAATGATATAGTCCAATAATATATTTAGTGGTCTTATAAAGTAATATGAATAAAATTCTAAGGTTATTTATATCACTTTAATACTGCGTTTAAAATTATAAGCCAAAGAATTGCTTGTGTTTATTTCTCGAATGTGTTTTTCGAGCATCAGCTTGTTTTGATTTCACGTGACGGAGCCGAAGCGCAGGTCAGCCTTTATGAACACATGGTTCCTTTCTGTTTCGTCCCTCGTTTATGGGCTGGGCGGGCGCCCGCGGGGCTTGATGTAGTGCTTATATAAAGCAGGCCCGTGTCCCCACGTGGTTACAAACACGCCGGGCACGCGGCTGACTGCGCCTGCAAGGCAGTAAAGCCTTCGGCTCGCAAAGTGCATATGAAGCAGCCCTTTTATTCTATACATATGCTGCCAGAAAAGTGAGTTATGTGAGTTTTTTTAAATAGTTATCTTTTCCCTGAATGATTGCTGCAGAGCTGGCAGGCCGTTGTCTTTGGGGAGGTGGCTTGTGGGCTTTTTGGGGTGGGGGGTCAAATACGGGTCTGTTTCTTGCCAGCAGTTTGGGGTTACGAGTGTGAATTGCCTGAAGCGGAATGCTGTCAGTGTGAAACCAGTGCTGCCTGTTTTAACCAGTGAGTTTCCCTTTTCTTGTTTGCCTGTGGTGTGTGTGTGTGTGTGTGTGTGTGTGTGGTTTCTGTGTGTGTGGTGTGTTTGTATCTGTGTGTGTGTGGTTTCTGTGTGTGTGGTGTGTTTGTATCTGTGTGTGTGTGGTTTCTGTGTGTGTGGTGTGTTTGTATCTGTGTGTGTGTGTGTGTGGTGTGTTTGTATCTGTGTGTGTGTGTGTGTGGTGTGTTTGTATCTGTGTGTGTCTGTGTGTGTGGTGTGTTTGTATCTGTGTGTGTCTGTGTGTGTGGTGTGTTTGTGTCTGTCTGTCTGTGGTGTGTCTGTGGTGTGTTTGTGTCTGTCTGTGTGTCTGTGGTGTGTCTGTGTGTGTCTGTGGTGTTTTGTGTCTGTGTGTGTCTGTGGTGTGTTTGTGTCTGTGTGTGTCTGCATCCCGGCAGATGATTCCCGCCGCCCTCCGGGCCCTGAAGGGCAAGCCGGCTCGCCAGTGCCTGACGGAGGAGCTCCAGCTGCACGTGCAGCAGAACCGGGCCATCTTGAACCACCAGCAGTTTGACCATGTTGTGCGGCTGATGAACTGTGCGCTGCAGGTTCGTACCTCCCGCCTCCTGCCTCCTCAGATGGCCCCGCAGGCCTCGCCGGGACCTGGTTGCGTGGGACCAGTGGTGAATGACACGTGAAGCACATTGCAAGAAACGTGTAAATCCAAACATCAAGTGAAGCTCACACTGTGTTTTGGAACGCAGAAACCACCGGGGAGGTATTTATTATCATTCATACAAGGTTCCGCTTTTGCATCCAGCCAAAGGAAATCAGGCAGTGGGAAATCATGCTTAAATTTCCCCAAAAAGATAAACTCCTCTCTCCACTTACATATCGTCTTATCGTAGCTGTAACTGTATTTAATTTAGCTCTAACATTGACATTTGTAGCTGTTTATTTGATATCTAGTCCATAATGGGAACCGTAAAAGTGCAGGACAGCCGCCAAGCTCTGGGCAGGCAGATCTGTCAGGCGAGCTCTGAAATACCTTTTCTTTCAGCTGGTCCAGAAAGAAATGCATGTTTCCTTTTTCGCCCTCCCCTTTTTACGAGCCGTGTCTGGATACAGCCGGTCAGCGATGCACGTTTGGTATTTATTCATTTCTGAGATCCTGATTTATCGTCATGTTTTCCTTGTGTTTGTACATTTCTACACCCTGAGCATCTTTATTCCTGGTGACATCACTACTGCTTACCCTGACTGGGTGTCTGCTCTGCGTGGGCCATGTTTAGCCTTCAATATTGATTTGATATGAATAATCTATCTGGGGCACAGTGTGATGTCTTTTACGTTGACCCAGAGCTGTTATTGGTCCTTTTCATTTTGCTGCTTCCAGTTTGTATGCCCAAGAGGTATGTTAATGCAGAACTGTTTTCCCCCAGAGGCTTTTAGTGATGACTTCAGGTCATTTGTACTTTTATTCCACTTATCTTTTCTATTAATGTTTCCCTGATGGTTCTTTTGCATTTTTCCCTCCTCACCAGTCTGTGTGCATTGCTGTTCCACTCTGCTGTTTTGCCCCTCTGATGTTTAACCCCACCCATTACGCAAGGGCTGAGTGCTGATTGGAGGACAGCCACAGGCCTCACCAATGGTGGCCAGGTTAGGAAGGAATTCCAGCTGAATCCCTCCCTCCGCCTTGGTCTGTGCACTATTGCTCAAAGACGCAATTTGCAAATGGCACATTTGAACTGTGAAGACAGGAAAAAGCTCTTTAAATCGCTGAGTCACTCAGGAAGCCCAGATGCATATTTGCATTTAAATTTTTTAAGACCTAAGGCTGCAAACGCTACTTCATGCTACGTCATCATTTACTTCAGAACTTGCATGACTTTTTGCTGTAAATGTGACGCCAGTCAGGTGCTGGCTGGGATATCGCTCACAATGCCTCTGTCAGTCAGCGCATGTCATTTCCACAGAAGTGGCTCAGACACTGGGAGGCTTGTGTTTCACTCCCTGATACTTGTAACTCGGCCTTCAATTTGGCTGCGGAGGGGTTTTGTGGAAAGACGGAGCTGCTCTTTTAGGGTGGAGGAGATGCATAAGAGATATGTGACTCAGCCCAGGTCAGGAGCTCTCAGCTCGGCTGTGGTGTCAGACATGTCCAAAAGGGAGACGAGAAGGAGAGTATAACACACACACACACATACATATACACACACATACATATACACACACATACATATACATACACATACTCACACACGCAAACAGAAACAGTCACACACACACTCACAAACACACATACATACACACACACACATACAAACACACACACACGCAAACAGAAACAGTCACACACATACTCACACATACAAACACACACACACGCAAACAGAAACAGTCACACACACACTCATAAACACACACACATACATACACACACTCACACATACAAACAGAAACAGTCACAAACACACACTCACACATACAAACACACGCAAACAGAAAGTCACACACACACGCAAACAGAAACAGTCACACACACACTCACAAACACACGCACACACAAACAGAAACACACACACACACACAGGTGATCTCAGTCCAACTGGACTATCTGTTAGTATGAACTTCAGAATGTTCCCGAGCAGCATGACAAGTAACAGGAGGGATAATCTTGTTTATAATTTAGTGTCAACTGCCGTGCTACTGTATTCTTATGCCAGTGATTTGAGAATGATGTTTGCAGTGCATTAGGCGAAGTCAAATGGCCAGTTGGAAATCACGAAACTCTAACAGGAAAGATGTCAGGGAAATCTCACATATGAGGAAGAACAGACAAATTACACGCTGCGTTGTCCATTTGAGTCTATTTTTTGGAGTTTGTTAATTAAATCTTATCCAAGACTTTAAACATGAACATTTTGTGCCTCCATTTTTTTTCATTTATCCCCATTTTAAACTGCAGTGGTGACATTCTGCCATTAATTTGACATTCTACATAGCTGGTGAAGAATGTTCAGTTCGTGTAAGTTTGAGAAAGGTTACTAAGGTATTAAAGTTATGTCATGATTGGAGGAGAATTCCAGCTTTAAATGTGATTCCCCTCTCAGATCGTAGGTAATCAGACCGGCTTGGCATGTGCACAATCTTCTTCTGACACATTAATGGGCCAAAGCACTACTACAGCTCCAAGTTACAGAACAAGCAGGAATACCGGCCTCTACAAAACACACATAATTTGGTACTTAAGACTAAGTTTGCTGGACCATGATTCATCAGTGATGACCTAGTCTCACGTTCTAAATGGCTGCTTTAGGATGGCCTCTTGACAGTTATATTATATAACAGTTTTCTTACATAGCCAAGGTCTCATTCCAGCTTTCCGGGACAGATGTTGGAATGCAATGTACACGGAATACATAAATCATTGGACGATTGCAAAGAGAGCTCATTAGTGCGCTTGACCTGTTTGTTTTTGCCGGGCAGATTATTAGTGAGAGCGTGTGCCACTGATTTACAGCATGTGTCTGCTCTCTGTGCATGGTATCTGAGATAGGAGGACTTGTATTTGGACGTTGACACATTCCCAGATAGCTGGCGTCCTCCTCCGTATGTATCGCATGGAGCAGCCGGCTGTCACGCACACGGCAGCCCCTCTGCTTTCGTAAAAAATGTGCTGGACGAAGGAACTCTGCAGGCTGGTGTCCAGATACCGTCGTGGCTCCACTAGGTCTCAACGCAGTGGGAGGGGGGGGCGGCATCAGCTCCGGGGGGGGGGGGGGGGGGGGGGGGGGGGGG